CTTTGGCTTTTCCATTCTCTTTGCTTATTTGTATCTACAAGAGTCTGTTTCATGTGATTTGGCTTGCATTGTTTATTGTCACATTGCTATATTGTTACTCAGCATGACCTTGAATTTGCCAAATTATTTTTCCCCCTGTTAGGTCATTATCTTCTATGCCATTTTAAAACTTCCTTGGTACTGGCACTAACCAAAATTCTCTTACATTCTGCCTGGGATAGCAGTGAAAAGAAACTGACCATTTAAGTGAAAAAAAAATGGCTAAAAATGACAATTTATTTACTACAGTTGTGGCCTTTGGTCCATGAATTTATTAGTATTGTTATGAACAGTGCTTTGTTTCATTCTTCCCAATAGTTAGCAATAGATCTCATTATTATTCCCATTTTGCAGATAGGAAACAGCAGCTAGAAAACGTAGCCTTGCACAATAACGTTCAATAAAATTTTCCCTAAGGTCCTGTAGAATTCTGAGCTCTGTTAAAGCAGGATTCCTAATTAGAGGTATGGAAGATATGAGTCTCAAGAGAATAATCTGATAGGGTAAAACCATTCAAGATCACTCAGCTTTACTTCCACTTTATTCTAATGTGACCTACAGAAAGCATATATTGCTTAGAGAAAGCATGTATGTTCTTGGTTTTCCTTCGTATTTGGAAAGAACACAATCTAATAGCCCAAAACAAATTAATTTGCAAGCTGATTTTTTTATGAAAGGGTAGATAAGAAGAAATAACTTGGGGTACATTTTGTAGCATTCACCAGAAAGAATAGAAGTTGAATTTACCTCATGTTGTTTCATCTATCTGAACAATTAATTACATGGAGGAAATGCACATATCAGAAAGGTGAACATAATAAACCTTAAAACCAAACAGAAGGGTTTGTTCTGTTGCACAATATTCTAAGGTGCAGCTGTTAAATCTAAGAAAAGCTTAATATGTCCCATCACCTCGTCAGCCACCCAAAATAGTATTTTATGTGTTCAGTTTGGCCTCCTGTGTCCATCCCGCTTTCCCTCAGAAGATTCCTACACAGCCTGAAAGTTCTTTCTTAGCTATATATCTGGTTATAAAAGGCTGGATGCTGACTGGTAAAATAGTTGCTCTCTTTGTGGTATGTCTATTCCTTATGCCTTCATTCTTCCAAGGTAACAAAGAAAAACACTTTTTAACAACAAATAAGTGTTAAGAAAATAAGTAGTGGGTTTCTATGCCCGCAGATGTCAAAATTATTGCCTTAACTGCCTTCGCACCACTGAGTCTAAGATACTGTGTTCAGAAGAGAAACCTGGTAAGATTAAATTCCTTAGGCTGAGTAATCCGGTAATGCCCTAAGTATAATCCTAAATAAAACATTTGTATGATTTCTAGAAATGCAACCTTCTGTATAGTTTTCATTTTCCTACTGGTGATGAGGAAACATACATACCCACACACCATGCCCCTGAAACATATTCTAAATGAAGATTTAATGTGAAACCAGGAACTTTCCTTGTTGGAAGTGCCCAAATCCGATATAATCTCTATTTATCCTCCTCAACACTTCGAATTGCTTTGCCAAAGCAATGAGCAGAAATAATTAGGTGCAGACTCAACAGTTATCCAGTGTTTTTAATGTTGGGGACCAAACTATGCTAATTGGTCAAGGAAGATTGCCAGCCCTAGAGTGTTTGACAGACATAAAGATGGCTTTGTGTATGAATATAGAACACAGAATAATAGAGTTGGAAGGATCCTTGGAGGTCTTCTAATCCAACCCCCTGCTTGAGCAGGAGACCCTATACTATTTTAGATAAATGGTTGTCCACTCTCTCTTTGAAAACCTCCAGTGACAGAGCACCCGCAATTTCTGAAAGCAAGCTTTAATTGGTTAATTGCTCTTACCATTAGGAAATTTCTCCTTAGTTTTAGGTTGCTTCTCTCCTTGGTTAGTTTCCATTGTTTCTCATCTTGCCTTCTGGTGTTTTGGAAAATAGTTTGACCCACTCTTCTTTGTGGCAGTCCCTTCAACTATTGGAAAACTGTGATCATATCTCCCCTAGTCCTTCGTTTCATACTCAGTTCCATTCTTCGTATGTTTTAGTTTTGTTGTTGCTCTTCTCTGCACTCTTTCCAGATCTCCACATCTTTTTTTTTTTACTGTGGTGACCCGAACAGGATGCAGTATTCCAAGTGTGGTCTAACTATGGCTTTGCAAAGCAGTATTTAAACTTCATGTAATATTAATTCTATCCATTAATGCAGCCTAGGATTGCATTGGCTTTTTGGCTGCTGCCACACAGGTTGGCTCATATTAAGTGAATGCCCAAGAGTCCAAGATGGATATGGATTATTTTGGTTTGATACTTCATCAACATGAAGTATCGAACCTCCTTTTTCACATGATCTGTTGACAATTTTGGCTTTCCCCGCAAGCTCTCTTAGGAGCCTTGAGATTTTGTATGCATTGGTTGATATTGGCTTGCTGGAAGTATGGTCTTTAATCTGCACAGTCTGAGCATTGTTCTTATTGCTGCCTATTTATTTAATCAACTTTTGTTTACCAAATTTTTTTGCTGCCCAATATAGGCAGTTATTCTTGAATGTGTCTTCACTTAAAAAAAAAGCCCAAATTCTTTTCTCTTCCTCTATCATTAAAAAAAACCTGGGTGCAATAAACCTTATTTTAACAGAAAGTTTGGGGAAAGTGTTTCTTAAGTTTGTAAGTCTGTTTTTATAATTTTCATCAATAGACTGGCATAAATGGTGTCTTTTTACCACTAAATTTAAGCAACAAACACTTGATTTAATATACATTAGGCCCTTAATTGGTGATGAATTCTGCATTAGCATTTGTTCTATCAAAGGTCAATTAAACTAATATTTTACTGAAATTATTTTGGTTACTGTCATTTTATTTTATTGTCTGACACCCTTTATGTATGCCAGGTTCACAGGACATAATTTAATATTCAATAAAATGAAAATGTGATAAAAAGAGTAAACAGTTTTGACTCTCAAAAGAACAAAACTAGCATATGTGAAGTCAAAAGCGCAGCAACAGTAAGGTAACATTAAAAGAAGATATTGAAATAGAGCTTCACCATATTCCTAAAAGCTACTGATGAATGGCCTTGGCAGACTTCCTTTAGAGAAATTTCCAAGGTTTGCTTTTCTTAAAGCACTTCAGATTTGTTTAATTGTTTTGTGTTGCTGTTTGCAAAACACTTTAAGCATATGAATAGACTGTTGTATAAACAGTGTCTTAAATTCACTTGCCAGTTTATCTCAACTGCCTGATCTTCATATAGTGTATAATGTAGAAATCTTTCATCTGATAGGTTTTCTATACCATTCCTAATCACTTTCCTTTTATTATTTTTAAACTTGTTATTTTTTTAAATAGCCTTGTTAAAATCATCCAGTTTTGATTTTAGGAGATTTGCACATAATTGGCTCTATTGTTTTAATGGTGGGCATTTAGAATAAGACCTTAATTATATCTGAATGCATTTAAGGCAAAGCAAATCTTATGTTATCCTAGGGCCCGGCAAGCCAGTAGAAAAAGAAATAGGCATAGCACGTCATAAACATTTTTTCAAACGCAAATTAAAAACAAAAAGCAGGAAGTTGATCTTGAATCATGCTCATATCAGCTGCATTTGATTAAATGAGAGGGCAATAAGAAAGGTCATCTTCGGTCTCATGGGCAACATAGACAAAATTCAAGGACAAAATGTTTATTAGGCAATATAATTTGTACGTTATTTATTTCTATTTGAACACATATTGCTAAACCATTAGAATAATAAGATCTCAAAGAATGCAACGGTTTCCCACAATGGCCTTCCAAACATTGCTGAACTTCAACATCCTTTTACAAAAAGCCATCCTGAATATGGCTGATGAAAAATGCATTTTCAGTTATATCTGGATAACTGAAAGTTGGCCATCTGTCTCGTGCTCTGTGACTTCCTGATGGAGCATAAGAAAGGAATATGCATATTCCTAAATGCATAAGAATGGAATATGTGACTGGTAATACAACGTTTACATTCAGGCATTGTAACTCGGAATAAGCTAGAGAAAGTTATAGAAAGGAAGGAATCATACCTCATTCTTCCCTTAGTCTGTTTTTTTCTCTTCACTCTGGGGTGCCCCATGCCCTATCTATTGTCCCTCTGGCCCCTTGGATGACAATGTGAAACAAATTGTGTGTGGGTGATAAAGGAGAACAGTAGTTCTCTACAGTGGCTTCTAGTCTTGATCCTTTGTTCAGCGATTTGCAGCTGTCGGTTTAAAATCAGAGTAGGATTCCCTGATGGGTTACTTCATGCTTTTCGTGAGGTTGATTAATGGTTGTTGAGGGAAAGGGAAAAGTATCCTGGGAAGTTTGGGGACAAAACAGTTCATTTTATTCTCCCACTCTCTTTTATTTTGCTATTCATTTTTCCTCCCCATATTCTGCTTGATTTTTCAGATGTGAGTCAAACTTCCATCACAGGGGAACAATGTCAGCTCTTAGGTACAGTATCGCAGAGGCCTTTTGTGTGTGTTTGGGTGTGGGTGTGTGTTTATGGTAAATGTATGTTATCCTGTTATTAACCGATCAGCTGATGTGGGGTTGAGGGCACACATCTCTGTTGGCTGCAGCTTTATGGGTGGGCAGAGGGAAGTTGAGTGTCTGTGTGTTGGTATGCGTGTGTGTGTGTATAGGAGTGTGTATATTTGTGTCTAAGACAAAGAGATCTAATAATATTGTGTAGTGCAGTCGTCATCAATAGAACTCATAAATTTTCCAGTAATAGGGTACTTGCTCTTTATTAGATGTGTTTATAAAATGTGTTTTCTTGGTTGATTATATTGTTCAAAGGAGCAGTGTAACTTTTCAGTAGCTTGGATTATATTCTCATGAAAGGACAATGGTCATGCTGATAGAAGTAGTATATTTTAACTAAAGAAAACAAGGTGATAAATACCTTTTCTAGATTATGTCCTGCTTTAGCATGGGTAAAAATACAGACATGCCTCTTCCTGGTTTATTTTTACTTTTGTAGCATTTGGATTCAGCCTGACTTTGTTTCAAAACAAAATAACTCTAACTCATTCATTTTTACTTAATCAATTTATAAAACCATATCAAGCATACAGTTCATTATTAAAAACAACACAGGATCAAATACAGTGTTGACAATGCCATTCCTTCTGCAGAAAAAGTTAGAACTTGAACCAGTGGAAAATTACAGGTAGTCCTCAACTTACAACAAGTTTGTTTAGTAACCGTTCAAAGCACTGAAAAAAGCGAGTTATGATCGTTTTTCACAGTTATGACTATTGCAGCATCCTCATGGTCACTTGATCAAAATTCAGACGCTTAGCAGCTACTTCATACTTATGTCCAGGGGATCATGGTGATTCCCTTTGGCGACTTCTGATAAGCAAGCTTCCGTTGGGAAGCCAGATTCACTTTACAACAGTGTTACTAATTTAACAACTGCAATCGTTCACTCAAAAACTGTGTCAAGAAAGGTAATAAAATGGGGCAAAACTCCCTTAACAAATGTCTCACTTAGCAACATAAATTTTGGGGTCAATTGTAGTTGTATGTCGAGGACTACCTGTATTTTACCATTCTCTAGATTATCATAGGTAATGACTTCAAACTCTAGATTTTTTTTTTAAAAAAAAAATCAGGATGGGTATCAGAGATTTTGGGATTGTTGAAACAGGATCAACATGCTTTTGAAAGATCAATGGAGTCCTGTATCTTCAGTCTGAGAAAACTGACTGGGTAAACAGTAGCAGATAATTATCTCTGTCAAAGGGTGTGTTCATAGGATTCCATAGAATAGACAAAGAGTCAGCAAAACCATATCAGCAAAATAGCCTAGAACTGTTTGTTCCAGTATGCTGGGGATGTTAACTTAGGATAACAATTCAATGAAAGCTCGTCCCTACTTCATTTAGTAGACGTTACATACTCTGAAAGCAGAATTCAGAACACAGAATTCTGTATTATCTCCCTTCATTCCCCTAAAATGGGGCGACTCATCCACTTTCCCTTTCCCATATATAGTTGGCCAGCTAACAGGCTATTTGTTANGGAAAATCTTGCTCCTGATTGGTTGCACAGAGTTTGAATTTCCAAGACTTTGGTGGTCTCTTCCCTTTGTCTAGACCATAGGTGTCAAACTCATGTTGTCATGTGACGTATCGCAACTTCCCCCCCCCTTCACTAAACCAGGTGTGGGCGTAGCCAGCACGTGACGAATCTGGCCCACGGGCCAAGAGTTTGACACCCCTGGTCGAGACTGACAAATTGAATTTATGGTTTCTCCCCCTTATTTCTTTTTTTCTGAATGTTCTCTGCCTGTTCTTGCAGCCATATCTATACCCTAAAAATAATAGAAATTGGTTCTTGAAAGATATTTCTTTTATGAGCTGAGCTGACAAGTGCTTAAATAAGCAAATATTTATTCTTATTGTTCCTGTACAGATAGAGATTCAATGTCTAGAGCTGGGGAAACAGATTTGGGCTATTCTTTCCCTTTTTGCCATACTTTCTTTTCCACATTGCAGATCCTGGATACAAGAAGGATTCCCAGACATTTCTTAACAATATCAACTATGAAGAAGGGGATGAATTCTTCGACAAGAATTTGGCACTCTTTGAGGTGAGATCACTGCTCCTTACCCACTTCCACCATATACACACTCATGACCACAATGAAGTCCCAAATTTCCGTGGCTGTCAGATATTTGTTAAATGAATTTTGTCCCGTTTACAACCTTTTTTGCCACTGCTGTAAAGTGAATCATTGCAGTTGCTGAGTTAATAACACAGTTCTTAAGTGAATCTGGCTTTCCCATTGACTTTGCTTGTCAGAAGGTCACAAAAGGTGATCACATGACTCTGGGACACTGCAACAGTCATAAAGATGAACCAGTTTCCAAGCATCCAAATTTTGATCAAGTGACCATTGGGATGCTGCAACGGTCATATGTGTGAAAAATGATCATCAGTCACTGTTTTCAGTGCCATTGTAACTTTGAATGGTCACTGAATGAACTGTTGTAAGTTGATATCAATATCAATCTGTGTCTGTATTCTTTCTCCTTGTTCCCTGTAATATAATTTATGGATAAGACCTTTCATCTTAATTCAAGTTTCTGGGCTGTTACAAGTTCATAGAAAAAGTGCAGTTACTCTGAATTCTGCAGGTTGAACATTTTTTTACCTGCCTTTTAAAATCTACTCATATAATTGTAAAAAAAAATATGTTTCAAAAGGAGGCCAATCTTGTTTGAGTTTTCTGAAAGTCTGCGGAAGATTTAATGAAGGTGCAAAACAAGAATGCTTTGTATATACATAAGCCTGTGGAATAACTAGCTTGTTTATAATACACGCTTGTTTCCTTTAGTGTCCGTCCTTCATAACTACTTTCAGTCCTTCATTGTTCCCCCCCCCCTTCATCCATCCTAAAGGGACTTTTCATTTAAATTTGTTCTCATGTCTACTGTCCCACTTTGTAGGAGGAGATGGATACCCGACCCAAAGTGTCTTCCCTGCTCAATCGAATGGCCAACTATACCAACTTGATGCAGGGAGCCCGGGAACATGAGGAGGCAGAGAATGTCCATCCAGGCAAGAAAAAGGTCACCAAGGTAAGGAATGGCTCCAAGAAGATTTATGGAAAGACATCTTGAGAGGAGGCCAAAAAAAAAAGTGTTTGTCAGGGTTTGCTACAGAAATCACATCCAGAAAGCACAGATAACTGATTCAGCAGGATNTTGTGGATGAATTTAAAATTAAAGAACGATGTCGCAGAACCTTGCAGATAAGATTTTAGAACTTGACTGCCTATTTTTCAGTCCATTCCTCTAGAAGCTCCAGAAAAAAAGACCTGGTTGATGTTAGGCAGTCCTCTAAGACAAAAAAACAAGCATGCACTGAACAGAAAAATTGGCTAGATAGATTCTTGGCATTTTCCTGCACATTGCTTGGAGAGTCCAAGCATGGGTTAAATTCTGCCTGACTGCCCTGGACTGAATTGAAAGATCTTTAGCCACGCCTCCTCTAACTTAACTTGGATTTTCCAACCAAATTCTTCTTCATCCTGCAAAGAAATAACATCTGCCTTTCAGTTCTTGTATTTGAGTCTATTGCTGCTATTTGCTGCCGGCGCTTGTCCTGAAGAGGGCCCTGCCGCTTGCGATATACTTGAGCGTTTGGCGTGGCAGTCAGTGGTGCGAGGACCCAGCCGTTCGTGCCATCGCTTTGCAGATTTGAATTTTGGCACCGTTTTTCCAGCAGTTATGAGCCCAGGTGGCGCAGTGGTTAAATGCAGCACTGCAGGCTACTTCAGCTGACTGCAGTTCTGCAGTTCGGCTATTCAAATCTCACTGGCTCAAGGTTGACTCAGCCTTCCATCCTTCCGAGGTGGGTAAAATGAGGACCCAGATTGTTGGGGGCAATATTGCTGACTTTGTAAACCACTTAGAGAGGGCTGAAAGCCCTATGAAGCGGTATATAAGTCTAACTGCTATAACTGCTATAGTCATTGCGGCAGCCATTTTGGTGAAGGGAAAAACTTCCGACGGCCAATTTGTTTGCAGTTTTCCTTTCCATTAGTGAGTCAGCATTGGAGGGTGGTGGCAGTGTGAGTTGGTCTGTCCAGCAATGTGGTGGTCAGTCTCTCCCCCTCCCCCTTGATTGTTAATTGATCATTAACAGCGAGCTGTTGGTCCTTGCCTTATGCCTCCCTCCAGCTGTTAACCCTGCAGGCGCTGGGAGGCTGGATCTCACCCCAGAGGTTTCCTTGTGGCAGCACCAGCTTAATTACTCATTTCAGCCATCCATCTTCACGACTCTGAATCAGCAGCTGCAGCTACCCTCACATCCCCAACTGTGTTCCAGGTGGTAAGTGGTGCCGAGAGTACCCTTACTCACAGCATAATAGCAGACAACACTAATCAAGAGGCAATGCAGCCAGGGTCCTCTAGCAGCAGGAGCCTTACCAGACAGGCTAGCAAAGCAGCCTAATGAGGCCCAGCAGACAGAGCCAGGCTGGGGAAAAGAAAGGAACAAAGCCCCAGGACCAAGTTGCCCCCAGGCGTCAAAAAAGCACCAGAGAAATAACCTGAACAAGCCCAGCAACAACCAGTGGCTAGTTCTCCAATTCCTGCAGTGGAATCACGAGAGGCCCAGCTCCTACTAATCAGGATTCACCACGATCGGATAGTGAGGACGAGGGCCAAGAATTTTCATCAGATGACTACTCTGAGTCAGTTAACTCCCCTAGACCATCCATGGGAGATAATGCTGATTTGTTTCATGCTCATTAGAAGCAGAGGATTCTCCTCCCGTTTTATCACTGGCTCCACAACATCCTCTGCCCCACCAGGCCACTAAGCATAGGCGGCCTGTAGAAAACCAAGGGCCGGCCCTCTCCCAAGAAATGCAGGAAGTCATAGCCAAGGCTATATCCCAGGGCATTGCAGAGGGCCTCAAATAATATGCCAAGCGACCTCGCAGGTTCAGGTCTTCTTCCTCTAGGGCTATTCCTTCAGAGAGCTCCCCAGGGATCTGCCGCTCCCCATTCGTCACTGGACAGCAAAGATTCGGCTGTAGATGAGGAGGTCCTTCCAGAGCAGGAGTTTTCCGGGGATAAGGGAGCCGTCATGGATAAGCCAGCCTTTACTGGGTTGTTTAAACATGCTTCGTTCAAAACAATCTTGAGTAAAGCTAAAACTGCCACTGATCCGGCCGCAGTAGACCCATCAGACCCTAGTGAAGGTCTTTTTGAGGAACCAATTGTTCCCCAGGAGATTGTGCCAGTTCCTAAGTTATTTTTGAACATAGTGCAGCGACAGTGGGTTCAACCGGGCATTCTAGCCATGCCTGGTAGCAGTGATAAAAAGCTTTATACGCTGGATGGCTCCTTGGAGGATTTATTAAAATTGCCTCAGGTGGATCCTCCGGTACAAGCCCTTACATCCTCCTCAGTCTTGCCTCCTGACCTCCTCTCCTGAAGGCAAGAGATCAGAAAGGGCATGTCACAAGACCCATCAGGCAGCTGCCTGGGCTATTAGGATGGCCACCTCGACATCTTTTATGTCCAGGGCATCTCTCCTCTGGCTCAGACAGATATATGTCAAGCTTCTAACAGGTAACACCAAACTGAGGCAGGAGTTCAATAAGGTCTTAGCGGCAGCAGAATACACTGTGGATGCCACCCTCAACTCCGCTAAGTTTGCCTCCAGGGCCCTAGCCTTAAATGTCACCACCAGGCGGCTCTCGTGGCTTCGCCAATGGAATGCTGACATGAGGTCCAAGTAGAAATTGGCCTCTGCCCCCTTTAAAGGAAGGAAGCTTTTCAGGGAGGCCTTGTCCTAGTCGAAAACAAGAATAAAAAGAAAGTTATGCCATCCATCATCAAGAAAACAGAGCGCAAAGGCTCTGGTTATTTTAGAAAGCAGTCCTTTCGTTCCTCAGAACTGTCCATACCGGTCAATACCACTGCCCATACAGTCATGGACCAGACCGGTCACAAGACTGTCAACCCTTTTGAGACAGGGCCAGGCAGCAATCCTTCTCTAAGCGGTCCTTTCGTAGCGGATCAGGCTGTAGGCCTTTCCGTTGCTATAAGTGACAGCCAGCTGATGGCTCCCATCGGAGGGCGCCTGCGCTTATTTCAGGACCGATGGGAGCAGACCACGTCAGACCAGTGGGCACTTCAAACAATCCGTCTGGGTCTGAGTCTATAATTTATTTCCCCCCTTCCCCACCATTTCATTCGCTGCCCCACTCCCTTCTCCCCAGCCAAACGGTCCCTAATGGAGCAAGAGATCCAGCACCTTCGGGAGATCAGGGCAATAGAACCAGTACCAGCA